TGGGTACAATGTGTGAAGCCCATTTCTGGTGTCCCCGGCCGTGATATCGCTGGAATATTGCTAAAAGCGGCGTAAAACCATACTCACTCACTCCCTCACTCATGAACTTTGCCCGTGTCCGTAAGTGTTTTTACATGAATAACAGACTATCTGTACGAGTTAACCAATTTTGTACTTTTCGAGCTTTGGTGAGGGTCTTTCAACATTATTTCTCGAGGAAGGCCATCAGAAGTTGGTTCGGTATTTGTCGTTCGAGATACGTAAGATGAATAACTAAAATTTTTGTTCTTCTCGTTTGATTTACTGAATAACAAGAAACAAACCTTTTCGTACTTCGCTTTTCGTCTCTCACATTCCGGAATGACAAATAAGGAACTTTTTCTTTATTTATCACGCAAATCTGGATGGATGCAGAGCCTACAGTAATAGGTACAGTAAACTACCGTTAAAACGAACTCACTTTAGTTCGTTATAACTGTAGTTCGTCATTAGCATATATACAGAATATATTCAGCAAATGGCCGCGACAAAGAAATATGTTCGTCATATCAGTCAGTTCGTTATAAGCGTGTTCGTTACAAACGTATTTTACTGTATATGGTCTTTTATGGATGCCATGGATAAATAATAGCATTTTAGCAATGTTTTCCTTCTTCAGAAATCTGCAATCAACTAAATATTGAATATTTCTTAATGCATGTGGGAGCTACGTCACACAACCTTGGGGATATCAGCTTCCGTAATATACTGGAGAACGAAAAACAAAGTAATTCTGCTACTTCAAAGACGAAGAACGAAATGATTGGTTTTTCGTCATTCGAATTTTAAAAAAGGTTACCAGCACATATGCTGAAGAGTGATGCCCACATTAATGTCTGACCTTACTTCGACATGCATGTTGGTACGTCATGGCCAAAGGATCGAACCACGAACCCTCGGATCTCCGGGCAGATGCCCTATTCACAAAACCACAGAGGCGGTCCAAAATTGAAAATGCACATTGAAATTTAAAAAAAATAATTTTACGCATTTATTTCCGTTTTACACATGATATCATGACAAGCCATAAGTCAGGCAAAAAATAACCTTTAGTATTTTATTGTAAATGAATGAAAGTGAATGAAGATTTTTGTATATTATTTCAGAACATGAAGAACGTCCCTAGTGCTATAGCTATTAACTACGGCAGCTGATGTAATTGCGTGAGTGAGTGAGTGAGTGAATAAGGAATGACTGCGTGAATGAGCAGGGTAAAACGACACTTAATATATCAAGGCGGTTGACACCAGCTGCGGTATGTTGTAAGACATCAAATCCCGATGTAAGAAGTAAACTACCATGGTTCACAACCTCACAACTTTACCTGATAAAGCAAAAGTTGAACCATTAAAGTGGGTGATCCAGTGACGTTTCCGTGTCAGTGTACACTGATCGAAGGTTCGAATCCCAGATTAAGCCCAATTACAATCATACATGTAATTAGTGAGTTAGTGAGTGAGTGAGTGAGTGAGTGAGTGAGTGAGTTGGGTTTAACGCCGCTTTTAACAGTATTCCAGTTATATCGCGGCGTGTCAGCTTAATGTGGGGGGAAAGCCCGAAGTGATGCAGGTCTCAGACGTTTACCACTTCGGTGAAACCCACGAGCACGGGTATGGTGCTGACAAACCTAGAAACATAATCGGGGCGAACCGGGATTCGAACCCACAATCATAGGTTTCTGGCGTGCCAAAGGAACGCAACTCTTCACAACCAAACGCGGCGCCTTAGACGACTGGGCCACCCGTGCTCCCTCAAATCCCAGATTAAGCTCTTTTACGATTATGCATGTAAAAAGGATACCATGATCATGTGTTTTACTGAAGTTATAAACGTTGACGTCTTTAATGATAATTTATATGAAATGTAATACTAATAGTTGTATAAAAGGCTTAACCACATGCGTAAAGGAAGTGGAATAAGCCTTCTGACGTCATTAACACGTGTATTTTCTTGTCACGTTTCGGTCCTAGGGTCTATGTTTCAAATGATTTTTGCACAAACACAAAGTATTCCAGCGAATACTTCAGTAGTGAAATACCAGCAGCACTCATTATGGTACAATGTGGTTACACACATTTTGTAAATGTCACAAAATCTCAAAAACATGTATAAGGATTTGTATTTTTCATGGCAGCCCTAGTGACACACCCGGATCTGATCCTGCGGGCAAAGCATTTTGCAATAGGGCGTAGTACCTTATGTACGAAATGAGGCCTCGATCAACTGTAGAACTATATATGTGACCAACCACGAAAAAGGTACCATAAAGGTGCTAGTATACAATTGTGCAATGACGTCATAAAGACGTTTGGGTGAGTGAGTGAGTGAGTGAGTATGGTTTTACGCCGCTTTTAGCAATATTCCAGCAATATCACGGCGGGGACACCAGAAATGGGCTTCACACACTGTAGCCATGTCGGGAATCGAACCCGGGTCTTCGGCGTGACGAGCTAACGCTTTAACCACAAGGCTACCCGACCGCCCCTAAAGACGTTTGGCGTCAACTTTCTTCAGTGAAGATCGATAAGTGTGATGTGTGATGTGTGATGTGTGATTGACGTTTGTGAATTGTATCTTTGTGTTGCGAGGATGCTTTAGTTTTAAATGTTATGTAAAGTCAAAATGTGATGTTTCGCCCATAAGGTCCCTTATCTCATGGTTGGTCACATATGTCATTATCATACACAGGTCATCTGTCAGGTCCTTGTGGAAGATAATCTTTACATGTTAAGGCCACCAATGGAGTTCCCGATGTGTCATTAGTCCGCCACTCCCCGTATGTTGTAGACTGTAAATGATTTCAGGCTCTGAAATGTCATTTTACTGAAATACCATTTCAGCCCTCTGCACTTGGTCTGTAAATAATCGAGCCTGGGCCTGACTATATTAGTCCAGTGATTGACATCATGAGCATCAATCCACGCAATTGGGATGACGTTATATCCCAATTGCGTGGATCGATGCTCATGATGTCAATCACTGGATTGTCTGGTCCAGACTCGATTATTTACAGACCGTCGTCATATAGCTGGAATATTGATGAGTGCGGCGTTAAACAACAAACAAAACCAAAACCTACCTTTGGTTATTGGTGATCTATAGCCCATTTGTATTGTGTACTGTTATGAATTGTTCGAATTTTATGATGATATGCTAGTTTTAAATCTACATCTCTGAAAGCCTAGTGTTTTAACTGTCCTTTGTCGACTGATTGTAATGTCTATATTTATGTATTATTTATGTACAACTTGATTTAGTCACGATATGGCTGAAATATTGCCGATGTGACTTTAAATCTTACCTCACTCACTCACTGATACTTGCACCACTTCGGGCTTGGCTCCCACATTAAGCTGACAAAGCTTTAGACGTGAAACAATAGTAGTTCCATCGGACATTCGAGGAGTTTTGAGGGACACAACTTCTGCAACCTTGTCATATTGACTGTTCTGATGTGTGAGGGGGTATAAGACCTCAACATGTATTTGGTCATGTCTGGGGGTTGCTGGTGGTTTATGTCAGGAACCACCACTTATGGTCATGGACCCGTGAAGATCCGGGATAGAATAGGTCTAATGCAACCAATGCTTGTCGTAAGAGGCGACTTACGGGATCGGGTGGTCAGACTCGCTGACTTGGTTGATGCATGTCATCGTATCCCAATTGCACGGATCGATGCTCATGTTCCCGAGTATTTACAGACCGCCGTCATATAGCTGGAATATTGCTGAGTGAGTCGTTAAACAACAAACAAACAAATAAACAAACTTATGGTCATGCTTCAGTCCCTTTTTATCAGAGGATGTAAATTCTATGTTGCGTTAGTTGTTACATTGTTGAATTATTTGAAGAATAATTGGTTGATACTTTCGAAACAAAACTGTATCTCCAAAAGGTTAAACAATTTGTTGTTTACCAGTGAACAGTTGTCTTCACGTTGGATATAACGGCACATGTAGTCTCAAAGTGCGTAGTCGAGCAACTGCACCCTGAACACGTCACATCAAAAAACTTTGAAACAAGAGGGTCATTGATGAACTTGTTTTCGATGTGAGGTTTCTTTTTCCACTCAAAAATGAGAATGAATCATTTGGATATTTCAAATTCTTGACAATAACACTCCCAGATAAACATATGACATATTACCTGGTGCAAACACTATGCATTTGACCGTTTCAAGGATGACAACTCTATATAACAATAGGGATACCAATCAACGATTTTTCAAAACTGAAATTCATAAATGGTATTTTTCACTTGGTTAGCCAAATATATTTAATTGTAAGTCGTAACAGATAAAGACCTCTTTCTTTGGATAATAATTGGGAACGTGACAGTAGACCCCAATATTAGGCTTTCTTTCAAACTGCTTGCGAGAGTAGTTTTGGACACGGACGCTTGCATTGTTAGACTCGACTTAACTTGAAACGACTTCAAATGCAAATGATGACTGACTATTGATGATGTATCAATATGACTTTATGACACTAATCAACAAACAAACAAGTTAAAAGACCTGTACCAGTTCTTATTTTCAAAACAACATTCGACACTGTAAACAATTCAGACATAGAACATATGAAGTCGTCATCGCATCACCAAGGTGCAGTCGAAGATTCCCGGAAAGATTGAACGATTTTGTCAGAATGTCTGACAATTTCATCTCATCTCGATGGAATTTTATGTACACTTCACTCGGTGTGTGCCAATATTGATTGTCTTTGTAGCAATCGTTAATATATAGAGATATTTCATCTATTACTATAACCATGGTCGTGTGGAAAATATATTAATGTAAAACTGGAACGAGAGGTAGAGTCCGAAACCTGAGAGTAATTAAATATATACGCTAAATTCTACGGTGTAACCCGAACGACACAACAATTCCAAGAACGAATATAGATTTCAGTTACCTATTCGTTCTCTTAAACCACGAATCTGTATGTTAGTTTCTCTTTCAGACTTCTCCAGTATCCATCAGCGGCGCACACCTGCACACAGTAGACTCTGGCTTTTCATTGGTTGCAACACCTACAGCGGCAACGTACGTTTACTGTGTGTTCAATCACTAATATGGGGCCTTTACACAGAATGGCGATCTTTGTGCCTCCTCTGCGCGACGATAACATTTGTCAGGTCGTCGTTGGAGGCTCAAAGGAGGCAGAATGGTTGCCTAGGTCGTCCCAAGGTGGTACACGGGAGGTTCAGACATCGCCATGGACGCCTTGGTCGCCATTTTTTTTTAACATGAACAAAACAGTCGCACAAAGGTCGCCGAGGAGGTTGGTTGGCTCAAGGAGGCACAAGGGAGGCACAAGCATTGCCGTTGCTGCAGAATGAAGGCACAGCGGTCGCCCAATGGTCCTCAGGTAAAAGATGTGTTCTGCTGCAAGTTTTCCCGTCAATCCGGGCGATGCTTCTGCCTCCCTTGTGCCTCCTTTGGGCGACCGACAGCATGTATTGAACGGTGACTGTGGCGACCGCCGTGCCTCAATTCGGCGACCACGGCAACCCTTGGGACACCATGGCAATGCTCCTGCCTCTTTTCTGCCTCCTTTGAGCTACCCGTAGTGCCTCCTCAGCCTGCCCATAAATAGAGGGTTGTACCTGCAGTGTTTCATTGTGGTTGCAGACGCTGAACAACTCGAGCAGTTACATAGATACATGATTTTCTGGGTTTAGGCGACACCGCTCAAAGGTTGCACAAAGGTCGCAGCCCTGTGTAAGAGGGGCCTTAATTTTACACATTGTGCCAATACAGAAAATGAAATCCGGATCTTCGGCCTCAGCAAAATGGTTGTTTTATCACTCCTTGAAGTAAAAGCAGAAGTAGAAGAAGTCCCCTTCTCCCTCTGGATAATTTTCTACTACTTGACACAGATTCTTTCCCAATATGTTGTCTGGATTACAGTTCCGAAAACCTAATATATCATATGTTGCAGTTTATGACCTTTTTGCATCTTGGTAAATAGGATCAATGAAGTAACGATTTAAATGTTCCAATTGCTTTAGATTTGATGTGACCTTCATTGCCGGAAATGGAAATTACCTCCTGAAGATTGCAGTAAAAATTGACCTGACAAAGGTGAACCGAAACAGCAGGGTATCCTCTTCTTGGCAGACCAGCGAGACTCCCTTGGCTGCCCCCTTCCCCTTCCAAGTGGATAAAATGTTTACAATGGACATCCTTTCATCTGAGTCTGGGTTCCAGGTCAGTCACACACTCTGTTAGCTTTAACCTTTGCTCTAACCCAAGAGGGGGCACGGGTGGCCCAGTCGTCTGAGGCGCCGCGATTCGCTGTGCAGAGTTGCGTCAGCGCCAGCAACCTATGATTTTGGGTTCGAATCCCGGTTCGCCCCGATTATGTTTCTAGGTTTGTCAGCACCATACCCGTGCTCGTGGGTTTCACCGAAGTGGTAAACGTCTAAGACCTGCATCACTTCGGGCTTTCCTCCCACATTAAGCTGACACGCCGTGATATGACTGGAATACTGTTAAAAGCGGCGTTAAACCAGACTCACTCACTCACTCTAACCCAAGAAGGTATTGACATCATCACTTGGTGCTTTCTCTTAGCCTATCGAAGCTGTGTTCCTACCCCACACTTTATTGCAGATAAAACACAATATCAATGTTCTCTGTATATGTACGCTTTAGAATGACAGACTGATTGTTTACTTATCCTACTTCCTACCAATTCCTTCAACATTTTCAACATGCCTTATTCTGAAAAATATTTATATAGCAACAGTACTGATCATGTGACGTTTACAACGTGCTGAACGTTAACGTGCCGGAGGCATGTTGCAAGTGGGCACAAGTCAGAATATCTGCCATCAGTAAATTAGGGGTCACATACCAACAACATATAACGTCGATGATCGACGACGGTCTGAACGCCAAGGGCAATCAGAATCAGATTGATGGCATTGAGACATCGGTTGCAAACTACCACTCAGATAAGGGACCGGTTGCAACAGGCAACTGTAGAGTGGCATTTGCGTGCACGTCATTCACGTGCCATCCCACAACTTCATTTGCACGTCATTTGAATCAGAGGCTTGTGGTGTGGTATCCCAATGACTGGCCGAACTACGCTCCATGTTGTCCATGGCACAGATCATTACTATCGGGACATAACAATGTCATGCACCACACGTGGTGCCATTTGCTACACGTGTTGGCCAACGTTTCATCTTTCAAGACGATAATGCATGTGCTAATCGTCCAAGGATCGTGACCCAATTCCTCCAACAGCAAAACACGTTGAACACATCTGGGACGTCAGTGGCAGACGTGTACATCAACGTCAAAATCCACCCCCTACTCTCAATGAACTCGGTGTTGCTCTCATTGATGAGTGGGACAACGTGAGTCAAGTTGACAGAATTTGTGCATGATAATCTTTCATATGCCTTTTGTGAGGCATTGGGCATTGGGCATTGGGTGTTGGACGTTAAAAAATCTTTTTTTATTTGATAAGTTGCAGCTCAACACAGTTACCCATGATTCACAGTAAATGTTTGACGTAGCTGAAATAACAGCCTCTTGTATATGTTTCAGTGCAAAGTGGATGGAGTGACGTTGTTTACCTTCCAGCACCGTCTACCGAGAGATAGCCTGGATACTATCAAAATAACTAATGTCAACATAAAAACTATCATATTGACATGAAGTGGTTATAGTGCTAGCGAGTCGTCACAGTCACCACAGAATATGTAAATTGTGTGACATTCTTCGCGTCCCCCATCGCGATATTACTGACTCAGTTTGTTCTGTCATTGTTTGCTTCTGTTATTTATCAACTCCGTGATCATATATTTATTGTCCACATTAAACAAACGTAATACTGACGTGGTAAAATCAAAGCAAACATCATACACTATAACACTAACAAGAAGGTATGACTTTCATCCGCCCTTCAGTACACATACGTTCTACAAAGCCGTATTGTCACATCACTATCGTTTACACACATAGTGCGATTTGGGGGCTCAAGAAAGATTCTCATTTAAGAAATAGTACAGAATCGTAGTATTGGGTTTATGTGGAACCACTTACACGCCGTTAAAAGCTTTCTTATTTGGCTTCCTATCGTTTTAACATTACGTTTTGCAGATAGCCATGATAAGATATTGAACTGACATTTCACGCCGTCTTATATAACCCTATTTTTATTGTATTATAGTTTCAAGTTTCAATTTCAGATTACCTCTTGCAATATGTTTATACTAATAATACTCACATATAAACTTTAATGTAGTGTTCCTACTTCACAATATACAACATTTCGCACACCAATGAACCGACTGTGTTTTTGAAATGTGATAAAAGGTTTCTTTGGCCATGCTGTGTAGTTATTTACTTGTTCCCTGTTTGTGTAAACAACAACTTTTATGAAAATGAGTGAGTGAGTGAGTTGGGTTTAACGCCGTTATTAACAGTATTACAGTTATATCTCGGCGTGTCAGCTTAATGTGGGAGCCAAGCCCGAAGTGATGCAAGTATCAGTGAGTGAGTGAGGTAAGATTTAAAGTCACATCGGCAATATTTCAGCCATATCGTGACTAAATCAAGTTGTACATAAATAATACATAAATATAGACATTACAATCAGTCGACAAAGGACAGTTAAAACACTAGACTTTCAGAGATGTAGATTTAAAACTAGCATATCATCATAAAATTTGAACAATTCATAACAGTACACAATACAAATGGGCTATAGATCACCAATAACCAAAGGTAGGTTTTGGTTTGGTTTGTTGTTTAACGCCGCACTCATCAATATTCCAGCTATATGCCGGCGGTCTGTAAATAATCGAGTCTGGACCAGACAATCTAGTGATTGACAACATGAACATCGATCCACGCAATTGGGATCGATGACATGCATCAACCAAGTCAGCGAGCCTGACCACCCGATCCCGTTAGTCGCCTTTTACGACAAGCATGGGTTGCTGAAGACCTATTCTACCCCGGATCTTCACGGGCCCCAAAGGTAGGTCACCATACTAGGCACCATGGGGTATTACGGTACTTTACACCATCCCTCTGGCTACTGGTGAATGTCAGTAAGTTTAAGCCAAATCATTGAAAAAAACAAGAATTCTACGATTAAAAACATGGAAAATGAAAAATACTTTGAATGGAATGGGATTTACATACCTTTTCAGGGGGACAATTATTTTACGTTTCTTCAAACTCCTTTGGAGATACAGCCACCAACAATCTCAGTTATTAGTTCAAATTAAAATCACATACTTTTTACAATACATATCAAAACTTATCAATCAACTCTATTTCTTTTAAAAACCCAAGAATTAAACGAGAACTTACAGTAAAAAGATCCTTTATGGATGAAACCTGGAAATAATTATCCCTTGCGATGGAAAAATCGATACAGTCAAGCAAGACATGCTTGACTGTGATTCTTTCATCACAAGGGACACAAAATGGAGGATCTTCACCTTTCAACAAATACTCATGTGTATAACGCGAATGGCAAATACGACATGGTCGCATAATGACCTCTTCAAATCTGGACTGACAACTCAAGTGGGTATAACCACTTTTATTCCATGTAATTTATTAATACCCACTTGAGTATCCCACTTATTTTGCATTAGGTATATGATATAACATCTAATTACAGGTTAATAGTCACTGTATGGTATAAGAAGTGGTGTTACAGATTTGTTGAGAGCTGCTTTTGCTGCAGCATCAGCCATAGTGTTCCCCGTGATTCCAACATGACTGGGCAACCAGCAAAAGACGATGTCGTATTGGCCAGTAGCAAGGTCATTATATAGTTCTAAAATATCTAAAATGAATGGATGACGTGAAGAGCTAGATTTTATTGCCTGTAGACACCATAATAAATCTAAAAAGATGATGAACCGTTTTCAACTGGACTATTTTTGGACATATTCCAAAGCAGTTCTAATTGCTTTGGCTTCAGCGGTGAATATTGAGCTATGGTCTGGTAAGCGGGATGATACGGTGTTTAATCCAATGACAGCAGCACTGGAGACTGTGCTACCGTCCTTGGATCCATCTGTAAAAATGGAACGGTGGGATTCATATTTAGTTGTAATTTCTATATATTCTTGTTGGTATATTAACTGATTTGTGTCTGATTTCTAAATTGTGTAAGACTGGTAGGAATTATTAGAAAGAATCATACAGAGATCACAAAGCCGAGATTTCTTCTGACACGGAATTTACTTTTCCAGGGTTCTGAAAATTAAAGAATGTTACAATGTAATTGAATGTATCCACCATTCACTGTCATGACAATACATGTAATTAAACATACTGAAATACTCGTTTATAATAAAATTGCAACACAGCAATAGCATGATACCTTACACTGTAATACCGTGACTGCTCCCTTGCTACGCGCAACTTTGAAATGTCATGTTTACACAAAAATATGAAAATAAAGTATTAACAATGACCACGTGGAAACTATGTTGTTTCAAAAACAATTAATAATCTGAAGAACACTCGTTTTATGACATAAAACTTGCTATATATGAAGATTTTCCTGCGATAGCGCGCACCTCTACAACGAAAATAGGATACACTATCGCACGTGGCTAAATAATTCAACTTTCCATTAAATGTAAGAAATTGACTGACAACAGCTTATGAAATGCCCATAAATCTTAATATTATCTCATATTCATGTTTTCGGTACCTGAAGAGTGGATCTCGGCCATGTAACACATATCAACAGTTGAATTTCCGCACTTCTCAAACTCTGGCCATCGCGGGTCACTCGCTCGCAGTAAAAACAAATACTCAAGGGAGCATCTATTGTATCAGAATGGTGTAAAACAGTCAGTGTAAAGCACCTACAGTCACAGAAATTAAACAAGTTAAAGTCAAATAATATTCCAGACAATTAATGCCTCTGTACGTATTTTAGATGAAAAAACATTTTGCAAATATTATGATTACATTACGGAGAATGTTAACACATCATCATTACGATCATAATGTTATTAAATGCCATCTAATTGGCATAATTATGTTTTCAAATCTCAGTATACATCAATGATACATGTTTAATGAGATTTACAGTATTTGTATAACGATCCAAGGAGTAATCACATTGCAGCCTGTATCATAGCAACGCGATAAATGAAGTACAGCTCTCTCCATAGATGGATCTATTGGCTAGATATTATAGCAGATAATATAGCAGATAATAAATCAGGTGCAACCTAGCTCTTAGTTAACATCATTTATTATTTCAAACAAAGAGTAAAGTCCACTTCCGGTCTGATACGTTGCCAAGGAGGAGAAGACAGCAGCCTGCAAGGAGAAATATTATCTCAATCAATATTGGCAGCTGTGATGTGGTGTTTAAACCGAATACCTAGTGGTGGGACCAGCTTAGGCGTACTGTGAAAAGGTTGTTCGTAAAGTGGTTGAAAAAGACAGTTGTATGCAGGGTTTAATGGGTTAGAATGTAATTTTGTGATGTATTGTAGTGATAATTTGATACGGTGTTGCTTAAATGAAGGTTCATCAGCTTCTACATATAGGCTGTCAACAGGAGATGTTCGAAATGCACCAAGACTACGGTGGCCCATAAGGGACATGGTGTCTGTTTTTCAATATTTTGATATTTCACTTACTTTTATCACAACCTAACAAATATGTGATAAATCATGTATAAAAACAACCGAAAACATGGAAAACGTACTTTCAAGTAGCTATTGAATCGCTGAAAACAAAAACGAAAAGGTCAAAAACTAAAATGAAAAAGTCAAAAACAAAAACGAAAATGTCAAAAACAAAAGCGAAAATGTCAAAAACTAAAATGAAAATACATAAAACTATTTCCACTGCGGTGAAAATATTATCACCGCGGTGGATATATTATCACCCTATGGAAATAGTTTTCTGTTTTCATTTTAGTTTTTTGACATTTTCGCTTTTGTTTTTGACATTTTCGATTTTGTTTTTGACATTTTCGATTTTGTTTTTGACATTTTCATTTTAGGTTTTGACGTTTTCGGTTTTTTTTGACATTTTAATTTTAGTTATGGACATTTTCGCTTCACTTTTCAGAGATTCAATACTTCCTTATACATGATTTATAACATATTTGTATGGCAAATCGTGTTAATTTGCAAAAGGTTACGATAACAGTAAGTGAAATATCAAAATATTGAAAAACAGACTCCATGTCCCTTATGGGCCACCGTACCAAGACAGAGTCGTAGGCCCTGATGGTGAATTGAATCTTAACTTTTGTAAATTGCTCTTACAGGCTCTACCATAAGGATAGAACAATAATCTAATATAGAGCGGACCAGAGACCTATACAAGTGGAGGGGGTTGTCTGATCACCTCCCCACTTTGTATTAGCAACAACTTTCAACAAATCTAGAGCCTTCAGGCATTTAGTTTGAAGGATAATTAATATGTGGCTATAAAGTCAAATGGTGATCGAAAATGAGACCAAGGAACTTGGCCTCTTCTACAGCCTTGATAGGAGTGCCATGTAAAAATTGCTCTGGATCTTTATGATGCTTGTATTTCCTACAAAAATGAATACAATTGGTCTTAGCTTTGGGAAAACTTAAAACCATTTTCGAGACACAATTTTTTGATTTTGTTGAGACAAAGATGCAACTGTCTCTCGATGGTATGCATATTTTTTCCACGACATGAACTATTAAAATCATCCCCCAAAAGGGAACCATCAATGGAATCATTTAAAACCTGTAACAGACTATCAAACAGAGTTACAGACAAAATACTGCCTTGTGAGACAACCTGAAATTGTCGGTCTGTTAAAAATTTGGATATAAATTGAGGCAAACGGCCTCTTAACCCCAAATCATGTAGATCTTTTAAAATACCATGCTTCCATGTGGTATAATACGCTTTTTCTACATTAAAATAGAATGACACTGCATGCTGATTATTGACAATTGCTCAACGAAGTTGGCGGGGGATATAGAAATGGGTTCCGTCCGTGTGTGCGTGTGCGCGTGCGCGTGCGTGCGTGCCTGCCGAAATCGTTTCCGGAGCATAACTCAGAAACCGTTAAATATTTCTCTACGAAACTTTGCATGTCTATCAGACTCATGCTGAACTGGTGCCTTTTGTTATTTAGGAATTTTATATTTTTTTTATTTTTTACGTTTCCATTGCAACAAGTTGATCTTAGGTTCTATTGGGTAGTGTTTGTTTCTGGAGCACAACTCAAAACCCATTCAATACTTTCTAAGAAAACTACGCATGTTTACCAGACACATACTGAACTGCCTTTTGCTATTTAGGAATTTAAGAAATTTTG